TTACAGGCAATCTTCTTTACTTCAATTTCACATTTACAGGTTTGGAGGCAATACCATAACACAATTTGGTGATTCCCAAGATGACATGAATTGAACAATGCCGCCATCTCCTGACCAAAAAAAGGAAATAAATTAAAAATAAATCCAATGAAAAATAAATAAAATACCACACTGAAGGAAGTGTAGCAGAGCCATGTTAGTCTATGGTAATCACAAATCAGAAAGAGTCTAAGATCATATTTTTTTTACAGCTAACAAATTTTATTAAAAGGCATAAACATTTGTGAGGTACAGCTGTCCAAAGCAGCTGAAGGCAGGGCAAGAGGCAATGGGTGGAAACGGATCAAGGACAGAATCAGCCTAGAACAAAATTTCCTGAGAATGAGAACAATTAACCAGTGGAACGACTTGCCTTCAGGAGTTGTGAAATTGCTTCAGAACTACGACGGCATTGGGCAGTCACTTGTCTGAAATGGCTGGTCTAGAAGACCTCCAAAGTCCCTTCCAGCTTTGATTGATTGATTAGTGATTCAATCTTGCCAATATTAGATTTGTCATGTCAAGTATAAGTCTCAGTATGTTTGCCTTTATTTATCTTCAAAACAGAAGAGACAAATGGATGTTCAGTCTCTTCTTTTTTTTTTTTAAACAAACTTTATTGATTACAAAACCAAAATATCAAATAAAAACACACAGAAGAAGACAGAAAAGGCCTTCTGTGCATCCAAGAATACAAGAGCTATTTCTTTTTCCGGGTGGGCTTCGTAGTATTCCAAAACATTTAATACTATTCATAAATTATTCCTGATTTGTCTATTAGGAAGAAATCAGTTTTGATCTTTATGTATATATTCATTCAATATTTTTTTCAATCTATTTGCTATAATTGTAGTAAATATTTTATAATCAGTATTTAACAGGGAAATTGGTCTATAGTTTTGTATATGTCGTGAATCTGATACAGCCCATTTCTTGCTTAGCTTAGCAACATAAATTTTGGGCTCAATTGTAGTCGTATGTTGAGGACTACCTGTATATCTCCTATACTACTTTTTTTTAAAACTGATTTTGAAAACCATCAATTGCTTTCATCTACCACTTTCCAAATTAACGAGACTAGCTTAACGTTATTTTAAGATGCCATTTTCCCATTGTTGCAGAGCTTAGGTTTAATAATGGCTTTCTATGGTACTGTATTGCTTTGTTGAGTTTAGTTTTATTATATCTTATTATTGTGTTTATTATTGTGAGATCACAATGATTCCTTGGGAAGCAGCTTATAAATAAAAATAAATTATTAGAAAGGGGAAAAAAACCCTTTGCTTTAGGTACCTTTGAACAATCAAAATGTTGTCAACCTGACACTTTATGAATTCATTTTATTTTGTTTTTATTCTAGTAGACATGGATCTTTCTATTTAAAGGCATACCTCACAAACATTCATACTCCATACACCCTATTCCACACAGTTATGTTGTCTTTGGTTAAGGAAGGAAGGAAGGAAGGAACGAAGGGAGCGAGGGAGGGAGGGAGGAAGGAAGGAGAGAAAGAGAGAGAAAGGGATAGAGACAGAGAAGTGAAAGGACACACTACATGAATTTTAGCAGGAGGGTGTAAACAAGGTTTTTTTTTCAGTACAATACTGGATACACCTGTAAAATATGTAGTACAATGCAAACTTTAATGTCAATATATACATAATTGGAAATAAAAAATTTAAGGGGAGAAAAAATTCTGAATGGAATAAATACAATATGGTACAAAATCCACAGTCCTTCTGAGACATGAGGGTTACAATACTGACAAGAGTGTGGTCAGATGAGAACATTTTAATCCTTTGGGAAGTACTATGCCCAAATATCATGTAAATAAAACTTGAATAATTGCCTATCCTGTAGTGTTTCTATTGCTCCACAGCTGAAGATAAGCCAGTTAACAGCCAGGTTCAGATGGAACATATTTCAACACGCAAGGCCATGGGAAAACTTGGGCTAGCACACGCTATTTCATTCCTCCTTGCCATGCAATGAAAAACCCCTTATCATGGCTTTCTGTTACATCTTAACAAGGCATAAGATGGACGGAATCACAGCCTGAAAGCAATGTCCAATGATGGTTATAGATTCCAGTTTGTTACCTATCTATCTTTGGTTCTAATGATGAATTCTGGCTGATTCAGCAACTCTTCATGTGAAGCAATAGAAAGAAAGAGGAAGGGATAGTAGACCATGGTGAAATCAAAGGTCATTTACAACCTAGCTTTTCAAACTGAAGTTCAAATCCACTTATTCAGTGTTGGGGAACTGGAGGGATGCATATAAATCATTCTGCCCCACCTTCCCAAACAGTCCCAGACCATAATATCAAGATTTCCATCCAGAAAATTCCCATGAAGGCAGCAGCCTATTCGGAATTTAAAATGGAATTGACTTAAGGTGTCCCACTGGAACCAAATAAGATAACATCTCATCTAAATTGAGTTTTATTATGCACCAACTGTTTCAACTTACCCTGTCTTTTTTTACCCTAATGTCAGCTAACATGAATTACTGGTTAGTATAATAACTTCTAGGTAAAGATAAAGGTATCCCATCCAATTGTTTCCAACTCTACTGAGTGGTGCTCGTCTCCATTTCTTGGTCAAAGGAGCCAGCATTGTCCATGGTCATGGGGCCAGCATGACTTTATGCCAAGGGGCATGGAACGCTGTTACCTTCCCACTGAAGTGGTACTTATTTATCTACTCGCATTTATGTGCATTCGAACTATGAGGTGGGTAGGCGCTGTTCTGTTGGTCGGAATAGTTTGACAAGCCAGTTATCAGCCAGGTTATGATGCAACATATTCCAACATGCAAAGCCATAGGGAAACTTAGTTTAGCGCGCACTATTCCTTTCCTCCTTGCCATGCGACTGTTGAAACCCTCCTGATCATAGCTTTCCATTACATCTGAACAAGGTGTAAGATGGACGAAACCAGAGTCTGTGAAGCAATTTGAAATGATGAGCTCAGCTTTAGCCACTGAAACCAATATTCCCCCATTACACTGCAATTTCTAAAGTCTCACAATACTGAAAGGGCGATCCTAGGGCTTCTTAATCATTGCTGTTCATTTCAATGGGTAGAAGTGATTTTTTTTTTCTAGAAAACCATAGCTGACAAACCTCTATTTGAGGTTGTATTAGTATCCAAACCCAAACAGGAACTTACAGCCTAGAACAGACCATGTATGTTTCTGTAAAAGAACATCTACCACGTTCCAACGAAGGGATTTGTATGGACAAACTTGGATCGTTCCTACAGGGTGAGAGCAATCCCTGTGGTAAATAATTAACCTTAGGAGCATTTTTTAAAAGAAGTATATATAAGGAGGTTCTACTTATTTCTTGGGTTACGTACTTCAAGATATATGTGAAGATCTGCTTTTGAAAAAGCATTCCAGCAGGTGCTATAAAGAGAAAAATGAATGTATTTTTCCCCTTTTGGTTCGTTCCATCCATGTCAAAGTCATCGGCTGTCATTTCCGTGCATCTTGAGGGAAGGTGTTTTCCCTCTCTTCAAAACTGCTTTCACTTAGCAGATTAAAGAAAGAATCACTCTTAATGATCAGATATTCAGTGTCTTCTAAGAATTTATACTGTGCTTATCTGCAAGCAAACTGACTGACTCTTGGATACTTGTCTCCAGAAGCTTATATAACTTATCACTAACTATCCAGGAAATTATAATTATTGCAACCCACCCTTTAGAAAAGTCACTAGGCCTCAAATACGCTCACAAAATACCCAAAACATGAGATTTGGCTGTTGAAAAAGTCCCTGAGGTTTTGTTGATTTCCTGCCAGTCAGTGTAGACAATATTGGTCTAGAAATGCCTTTATTCTGATTTGAGAAAAGTCTAGTTTTCTGTTGGTATAAAACGAAATGTACGGCTGAGATAATATATATTCATTCCTTAAAGGGAGGATTTGATTAAGCAAAATAAATCCATGTGTGTGCTTGTGTATGTGTGTATGGTATTCAGCTTTGTTCGGGTATTTTCCCACGTCATTATAGTTGTGCTTTTAAAGTTGTAGCAACATTTCGGCAGAATCTCATCTGATGAGTTTCTGCCGAAACATTGCTACAACTTTAAAAGCACAACTATAATGAGGTGGGAAAATACCCGAACAAAACTGAATACCATACATGTAAGTACCTGCGAAAACTTAAGAATGAATATATATATTACAGAAATAGATGGAAAAAGTAATCTTTTTCCTCATGTAATTTATGACCAGCATTTCCAGTTTCTTATAACTCTGTGAAAATGTTTAATGAATTTTAACAAATGCATTATATTTTCAGACTTTAGTCTTAGCAGTTTTATTTGATCCCAAATGAAGTCATCAAACAAAAGAATAAAATATTATTCAACATAATATTCAGCACTCTCTTGATTTCTTGTAATGAGTTCTCTAATTCATTAATGGTTATTCAAGGAAGGTCATCCAAAAAACTGATTCTATATTATTAGGATATTGATCAATTGCATTAATCTCATTTCACAATAAAATATCTCAGTAATCCATACTGGAATATCTTTCTTTGAGGGAAGAGGAAGGAGACTTCTAAGGTCCATTTTCTAAGAAAACATGCCAGTTTGAAACTAATCTAGATCTAATATGAGTTAACCTGACCAATTTCATAATTTTTCCGAGTAATCCTTGTAATCTTCATTGGTTTTATTCTTCCCATTGAATGTATGGATTCATGAGGAATTTAAAACTTGATTAGAAAAGACCAAGGAATATTTCAAAGCTTGCACTTTTCCAGGGGATACAAAGTCGATATTAAAAAGGAAAGAAGAAAAAAAAAGTGAGGGGGACCATTAACATAAGCATTTATCTTCTAAACTGTTTACAAAACATCAGAGAGAAATGGGAATTCAGAGAACTTGCCAATGTGTAAATAAATAAAATCTGTTGTGAAATATGGTTTGTGATTAAAAACATCATTAACTTACAATTTAGGATGAATAAAGTGCTGTCCCAGGATGAGAAAATTCAGGCACAGTGAGAACCGAAGAACAATCGAAGACAGCAAAATGTGTTAGCTTAATTAGCAAAGTAGCTTAATTTATCTTGTGTCGATACCAATCAAGGTAGCTTAGTTTGTCTCGTCTCAATACCCATCAAGTGGCAGGGTTCAACCCAGAATGTCAGTGCAAATGCAATGTCAGTGCTTCTATGGTTAGATGAAATGGGCACAGACTATGTGACACCAAAGTTCACAGATGAAACCAATCTAAGCCTCAGGACATGAGAGTACAATACTGGACGAGTTGATATCAACTCGTAGCCTTTTAGTTATAGGATGTAAGCTCTACACACCTTATTCTGTATCTAGGAATATTGTATATCTAAGCAGGGGTGCCCAACCTTGGCAACTTTGAGGCCTGTGGACTTCAGCTACCAGAATTATCCAGCCAGGCATGAGAATACTGGGAGTCCACACATGTGGTATAAACCTCTACACACCTTATTCTATACCTAAGCAGGGATGCCCAATCTTGGCAACTTTAAGGCTTATGGACTTCAACTCCCAGAATTCCTATGGCTGGCTGGAGAATTCTGCCAGCTGAAGTCCACAGGCCTCAAAGTTGCCAAGGGTGGACACCCCTGATCTAAAGTAGTATATCAAGTAGAGATCTACTTACCCCTTCTTGAAAAGGTCCAATGATGGTGAAGTCATACATAAAGTTTAAGTACAACAGATTATTTATTATCCTAACAACCACCACTCTTCAAAAGCCTTAAGAAAGACACAGCTAGGTTGACCAAATCTACAGCTTCTAATGAAGGCTTTACACACTATCATCTTGGTGTATGTTCATGGATTATTATAGCTGTACACGATTTTTTTTTTTACACATAATTGCCTGACACCAACAGAAGATAAGGGCGTTTTGCACTAGGATATCCATTTTGGTGGTCCTACCCACGAATCGAATGCCATGGAGTCCGCCGGTTAAGGGGATCGATTTACAAAACCAGAGCACATCATGTTTAATGATTTCTTTTCTTTGTCTTTACAATAGGGCCAAGATAGCAAAAATATTAAAACACTGACCTTTTCTTCTGAAATGAAATTTACAACTTGAGCAACGTCTCTGGTCAACTAATATATATCTTTATAAACCGGATGAAAACTATACAGTATTTAAAAGTATTAACATAATGCGATTGATCTCTGAAATGAAATGTGTACCAAAAATTCCTCACCACAGTTGCAAAATACCCTGATGCTACTGAAACCAACCTACGAACAGCAACAAATCCTCTAAACTGTTCGAAGTTTTTTGTTTTGTTTTTTCTTCCTTTCTTCAACTGAATTCAAGTAGTGTAGGAGGAACTGGTAGATGCCTTTAAATTCACAGGGCAGGCAAATACAGAGCTGTTTCTTGGGGTTTGTTTTTGTTTTTCTCTGTTCCAGCTGACCTATAAGTCTGTGGATGTGAGTTTTTTCATGCTTCTCCGCTGAGCCAAGCTTGAAGCTGCAACTGGTTCCAAAATAGGCTGAAATGTCTTGTTGTTCAGTGCAGAGTATGTAGCAGCCATGGCCCCCTGGAACATAACGACATTAAATGACAAATCAACCCACCATCCACAATCCTCATTAAGGTACAGATCTCCGTCCCTATGTTGAGTTTTGCCAACTTTACCTTCACCAGATGTGGTGCGTCTTGCCTATTTAACTGATAATGTGGCAGCTGATCTCTACAGGCTATCCATGAATGCTTAAGAACTTGCTCGGCGGTATATCTTTGATGTGGATCGACATGTAGCATATGAGATAGCAAATCCTGGATCAAACAGGTAACAAGAGTTATGAGTACAACTTAGAGAAGAGGAGGTTACAAAGAGTTGAACGTGGTCGTTCTCATATTGTCACTCCTACCAGCATAATAGCAGTGGTCCTTTCACCCCAAGATTTCCACACTACTGGAATTGTTAAATGTATTTATTTATTTATTTATTGGAATTTGTCCAACAAAAATGAGAAGAAGAGTAAAAATACAAAGACAGGGATGATAGTCATGTTAGTGCACTTATGCATGCCCCCTCGTACTAACCACTTCAGTATTATGTAAGGTCCACGGAAGTCAATTTGTGAGTGAAACTGTAAAATGAGTGGAAAGCTCAAAGCAGAATTAATACACACCCTGAACAGGGTATTATCTCATTGGGTGTATCTATTACAACAGTTTGAATAATACTGTTGCTTATGAAGCAGACCTGAATTTCAGTTTTTAGAAGAGGTAGAACAGGAAAAACATCATATGTCAAATTACAGACCTGGTTAAAATTTACATAATATATTGGAATATCTACATAATATCAATTAAATAAAATTTATTCAGCCTGACATTCACGTATGAAAAAAATCTGGCTTATTATTTTTTTTTTAAATAAACTGAATAATTTTAGCACGTGCAGACTAAGCGTGCTAAGTAAATCTTACAGAAGAGTTAAGTAACTTATAGTACCTTGCTTTTTAGATCAAGTTAATTTTCAAATATTTTTTGAAAATGCTTTAACATTATTTACAAAAGGTGGTGGTTAAGTTTCTTATTACTGATCACTACCAAAAAATGCATGCATGGTGAAGCTCTGATTTAACTGACATTTTGCAGAAGAGGCATTACACATCAATGCCTATTAAATCCAAATTTATGAAAATTGCATCTTTTTGCAACTTTATGAAGGTGAAGTGACTTATTTTTATTAGTGTCTATGGCATGAAACATCAGGATGCAACAGGACTGGTCTATTATTTGGGAGCAATGTCTACATATAAATTTTGTCCATTGTCTATTAACGTGGTGGAATCTAAAAGTTGAATCATGACAACTGGACCAGAATTTGACCATCCAGGAAGTTTCATAGGTCAAAATTTAAAAAAAGTAGTTTTGTAGAGAGTCAGAAAGTCTTTGGAATGTGCCAACTTTCGCCCACCAACTTCAAGGGTGTCTCTACAAAATGTATTGTTGCCATGATTCAACTTTTTAGATACCTGGATAATTGAGTCTTCATTGACCTAATGTGATGGAATGTAGGCTGGATTCCCAGGAGGGAGGGGGTGCATTCGAGAGGAGCACGAGACAATTCAGTTCAGATTGTTTGTGTGAGAGAAAGTGGGTGAAGACAGCTACTCCCTAAGAGTCCCCAAGATATATGCTTGGTTTGGCTGGTAGCTTGCATTAGTTTGGCTAAGATTCTATCTATAGAAGCCTATCTATAGGTGAAGAACAATAAAGATAGCTCCTTGGGAGAATCATAAAGCATCATTCTTGATTTTTGGAACCTGGCATTAAAGTATATCACATTTTAACCAACGGTTCACTTGCAATGGCATTTACACGGCTGCCTGTATCTTATAAAGCACAGAATAAAAATACGTTGATACCTTTGCAGCATCTGACACAGTGTCCCAATTGCCTCCATTTAAAGAAAATTTTCCACTACCTATCCGTAACAAAATTTCTTCAGGGGTATCATTGGGCCCGTTTGCAAAAGGTGTGTACCTAAAAAATATTTTTTAAAAAAAGGAGGTTAGTTCCCTTTGCATAAGTAGTTCAGAAACATAGATTGAAACTTGCTGATTTAGCACAGCTGTCATACTCTGGGTTGATCCTATAAAATAAGCAGAAGAGTCATGCCTCTGAACATCTGCAAATTCATAGCTATGTCAACATTTGAAAGGCGGATCTCACCCTGCCAGCATTGTATAAAGAAGAACTCCCAAGCTCCAAATATCACAAGCAGCATCATAGCCTTGCCTCATGAGGACCTAGAAGATGAACAAAAAACTCTGTGTTATTGTTAGAAAGACGAGCCCTCACCACACTCAAAACTGAGAAGTAATTTTAAATAGGTGTTTTTCAATCTTGGCCACTTTAAAATTGTGTGGACTTCAATTCCCAGAATTCCTCAACCAGTATGCTGGCTGGGGAATTCTGGGAATTGAAGTCCATGCATCTTGAGGTAGCCAAGTTTGAAAAACACTGATTTAAACTAATGACCACAGTGCTACTTAAATAAAATAGTTACCTTCCTGAAATGCTGCAGTAATACGAGCTTCTTTTAATGACCCCCATTATCCCTTGCAGGATGGAGTCTGGGCAACTGAATGGACCTGAGTGTTTACCAGCCGGATGCCCTTCCTGTCACCAATATGCAGTTATATTCAGCAGATATATATTCTCATTGTGCCTAGAGAGAAATATCTGCCTCTACCTAGGATTGAACTCACAGCCTCCTCACTGTGAGGCAAGAGCTCCACCTCTAGGCCATAGCACTGCTCAAATGCTGCAGTAGTACACAGAACAATAATCAACATTCAACTGAATTCTGGGTTTCCATGTTTATTGTCAACTCATAAAACATTTTGTATATACGTTTTATAGTTGTCAACAGAAAGCGGGAGAGGAGTTTGAAAGAGCAGGCGGCAGTGTGGAATCGAAAGTACATTCCATTCATATTTTCTTCAGAGACTGATTAGATGACTGAAGCTTCTACCGTGCAAAAATCTAATTGGAGAGCATGATTGGTGACTCTTGGCTATGGACGTGTTTCATTGGATGATACACCCAGAGGGGTGGGGAAAGCAGGATCAAGGGTGACAGTGAATTACGTATCTCAGAGTTGGCTACGCCCAGGTTAGTGCCGGCATGTTAACTTCTAATAAATCCTTTTTAGTTTTGGGAGTACGGCTCGAGGCTCAGGATTTAATTGGAGTAACTGCCAGAATCCTGACATTTATTTCTATACATTAAGAAGCCCGTTTATGCATGCTCTTGTGTGTGAGAGTAAATCAATAATTATGTTGCAAGGAACAACGGAGCAAAGCAATCTCTCCCCAACTCCTCCCCAAACTTGTGAATTTCAAATACTTTCTTGGAGATTTAAAAAGACGATTTGTAAAACAAAACAGGAAAATGCATACCTCTGGTGCCACAAAATTAGCAGTATAGCATGGCGTTAAGAGAAGCCCATTCTCTCCCCGGAGTTGCTTTGCAAAGCCGAAATCACAAATCCTGATGGAATCAGCATTATTGGAATCATCCATATATAAAATATTACTTGGTTTAAGATCCCGATGCACAACCTTAAAAAAAGAACATATAAAACCCAACTGTTCAAACTGAAATCAGGAAAAAAAAACATTTTAAAAGATTAAGTAAATTCTATCAACTCGGCCGCAACACAAAGGAGAATAGAAAGAATGATTGAATATTTAAACCAAATTTCTACAAAAATGAGACTTCATAATTGGGAGCAGACCACAGAATCAATTTATCCAGCTGTGATTTAAAAGTGAATCATTACATCTGATTTTCTCTTTTGCTTACAGACACCCACTTCTAAATCAGGTTTGTTTGTTTACTTGTTCATGGATTGATTGATTCATTCATTTAATTTGTATGGTCACCCAACTCAACAACTGACTTTGGATGGCAAGCAATCTTAAAAACAAACTCTCTCCCTCCCCCCCTCCTCTAATTTTGTCTCCAACAATTGCCAGCTAAATTCTAAAATATAACATCCCACCTATTTTTATACAGACCAGTCTCTGGTTAGCACTTGCTCTCAGACCAACCAATTTGCTGAAATGTTATACGTATAAGAAAATATAAAGGATTTCAGTTTGTTTATTTGGTGCCTTTGAGTCAATGTTGACTCCTAATGACTACTTGGGTCATTTTCTGCAGTTTTCTTGGCAAGATTTCAGAATTGCTGTTTCCATGACTTCTTCCTAGGGTTGAGAGAGACTGGCCCAAAGTCACCCAGCTGGCTTTCATGCCTAAGGTGGGATTAGAACTCATGGTTTCCCAGGTTCTGGAGTGATGCATTAACCATTACACCAAACTGGCTCTTCAGGATTTCAGTACATGGATATTTGCTTATATATTTAAGAGATTCTCCCAAAGGGGCTTTTTCAAGAGGCAACTGGATTTTCTAGGTTTTTTTTTTCCCTTTGAAGACGTTTCACTTCTCATCCAAGAAGTTTCTTCAGCTCTGACAGGATGGTGGGAAATGGAAGGATTTATATTCCTTGCAGACAGGGGGTCATTTGCATCCTTTTAGGGTCGTTGAAGCACCTGGAGAGGTTTACGTGTCCTCGGGGTCACCTGAGTAGTGCTTTTGGCTCCTGTATTTTTTTTTTTCTGGAAATCTTACTACAAGAACTATTAGCACTACTCAGGTAACCCTGAGGACACAGATAAACCACCCAGGAGCCTCAACAACCCTCTAAAAGGATCCAAATAATCAGCTATTTGCAAGGAATATAAATCCTTCCATTCCCCACTATCCTGTCAGATCTGAAGAAGCTTCTTGGATGAAGAGTGAAACATCTTCAAAAGAAAAAAACAGAAAGTCCAGTTGCCTCTTGAAAAAGCACTTTTGGAACAACCACGACTTGGATGATTGAGAATCTCTAAAAGATTCGTTCAGTTGCTCATCCACACAAACCCGAAACAGATACACCCAAACTTAATTAAATTATCAAAATGTGGCCAGCTTACTCCTTGACAGTGCAGGTAGTCCACAGTTTTAGCGATTGTATACAAGACGGCACTTGCTTCGCGTTCTGAAAAATACTTCTGTCTGAGAATACGATCCAGAAGCTCTCCTCCCTTCATCAATTCTGTGACAAGGTAGATATATTTACCATCATCGTACACCTGTAGAAGTTTAATATAGTTGAGTAACACATACTCCAGGAATGGGGCGTGAAACACAGGGTCTGCCTAGAGCCGGGGTCTCCAACCTTGACAACTTTAAGACGTGTGGACTTCAACTCCCAGAATTCTTCAACCAGCTGGCTAAGGAATTCTGGGAGTTGAAGTCCACACGTCTTAAAAGTTGCCATGGTTGGAGACCCCTGGCCTGGAGGCACACTCAACAGAAGGGGCTGATTTTCCACCAATAACTTCTTTTTTAAGATTGCAAAGATTCCAGACTACTGAATAACCTTTTGCCGCTTTCAGCTTGGCAGATGAGAGAATATTGAGGAATTGTGGAAAAAACAAGATCATATGCTATGAGGTTCTTTCCCTTGCCATAAAGCAGTTGTGTCCGATCTTGGCAACTTTTAAGAGTTATTGACTTAAATCCCAGAATTCCCTATGCTGCTGAGGAATTCTGGGAGTTGAGGTCTACAAGTTGCAAAGGATGGACATCCCTTCTATAAAGTTAATACAGCTGAAATTACATTTCCACCCAGTTGGGAACAATAAATAGCAATAGTACTTAGACTTATATTCTTGCGTTATAGCTCTATATAAGCGGCTTACAGAGTCAGCCTCTTGCCCCCAACCATCTGGATCTTCATTTTACCCACCTCAGAAGGATGGGAGGCTGAGTCAACCTTGAGCCTGGTGGGATTCGAACTGCCAAATAGCAGGCAGCCAACAGTCAGCAGAACTACTGTGCAGTACCGCACTCTAACCACTGCGCCACGGAGGCTCTATAAACCCACACACCTTTGTAGACATACCACAACAAAGCCTATTTTCAAACAGAATCATATTTCACTGACAAATATCGAAAGCTTCTCTTCTGCATTCCGGCAGAGACTGGACCAGAGGAAAGAAATTCATCCCATCAACAGCTACACTTTGCATGCTCTCTAGAAACCAGACAGAATACTTACATCTTTTAAAGTAATAATGTTAGGATGCTGTCCGTACCGCATCAAGATTTCTATTTCTTCGGAAGGGTCTCTCTTACTTTTGTCAATTATCTGGAGGGGAAGACAATGACCACAAGGAAGTGTGACAGGAGATTAAATTCAGCACAAGGAAGCACATTTCTATTTAAGAAAGCTCAGAACAGCCTCACTCTTCAAGGCCACCTTGTAACAAGGGCACAGAGCAGCCTTCTTCCCTTCAATTCCCAGAATTGTGAAGCCAGCATTACAATTGAGTGCCAGCAATTCTAGGCAGTAGTAGGATAGAGGCAATATCTCTGGAAGATGTCCCAAGCATTTCAAAACATTGGAAATCCTCCACTACAATGTGGATACTGAATCTCTATCTCTTTCTCTCCTATCCCAAAGCAGGCCTGCAGATGAGACATATTTCTGAGATACTGACATTTTATATGTATTTTAAGGGTATTAAATTATTGTATTTTCTCCTGTAACTATAGTCTTTTACCTTACTCTCATTTTAAAGTGTTTGTTTAGAATTTTCCTGGCAATATGTGTTTGGACCTGTATGTTGATATGGCCCATAGGCTAATCAATCAATCAATCAATCAATCAACATAGAGATACTTTTAAAAAGATGGACTAGAAACAAGGCAGCAAACTTGAAAGGCCTACTTATGTAAAGGGATGTGCCACTTTAAACCAAATCTTAAATTGTCTAAATGACAAGAACATCATGCTGTATGACTGTAACTTTGTCGCTTGTATCCTTATGATCTATATTGACTGTTTCCTAGTATGATCTGATTTATTGTACCCCATGACTATTATTAAGTGTTGTACCTGATTCTTGACTCTTGACGAATATATCTTTTCTTTTATGTACACTGAGAGTATTTACACCAAGACAAATTCCTTGTGTGTCCAACCACATTGGCCAATAAAGAATTCTATTCTATTCTATTCTAAAACAATTGGTAGACTCAATTCATCTACTAAAGTTCTACACTATGCAAATGAGATGGAAATAGAGAGGGTTGGGATTGGCCAGCGCCATTGATGCTGTCAGTCCAAGTACTGTATTCTGACTGGTGGGATTAACTTTGTTTTTAGTACATACAATTTTTATCTGTGATAATTGTAAGTCTCCCAGAATTCCCCTGTTTTAAGATGGGCAGCGAATGAATGAATGAATGAATGGAGATACCAGCAGTTAGTAAAAGATCCTCTGGGCAATTATCTTCTTAGTATTAAAGTTCTAAATAGCACATCCACAAATAACTGAAGATAATTACATGTCAACCCCAAAGAAAGTACCATATATTAGCAACATTTCATTACCCAAACTTGGTAACATCATCAGTGCTAGGAAGGAGTGGGGTTTGCTCTCATTTTATATAAAAGAAAGCAAACCCCACTCTTTAGAAGCACTGATGATATTACATGGCTGGGTAATAAAACATCTACAAGAAAACAGCCAAGCTCAGAGAGCACCAAGGATCCCACAGTTTAAACCTTGAGCTACAAATATTCTCCTTTATTGATGTCATACAACTGTCAAATTTGCAGCTTAGGAGATGTTTCTTTATATATTCATTCTAAATAAGATGAAAAGAACACAAATCTTAATTTAATTTAAAATGGTTAAGAGCTATAAAACATTTATTTGAAACATGGGCTAATTTATATAGATTGCTATATATGTTTAGATATTTAAAAGTGATATGGAAAAAAAATAGCGCCCCTTCATACCTTCACAGCAAATTCCATATTGGAAATTGTATGGATGCAGCGCTTACACACCGAGTAAGAGCCCACACCAATGTCTTCTTTAAGTTCATAGGCATCTGTGAAGAGTGCACTGCTCCCATGAAGTTGCTAAAGAACACAATAAAACAACTTTTAAAGGCTTGCAATTATTTCATAAACTTTTTTGGAACATTTTTGCAGGCCCCCTACACTTCTTATCAGTTCCATACAATTTGGATTTGTGAAAAGAAATATAATAGTAAGGGCAGAGGCAGACCTAAAAGAACAACTTTTGGACCATTTAGTCCATTTTAAGTTTTAGTCTTAGTGGATGTAGTTGTGGAGGCATCCCAGCTGGTTTACAATTAACATTATGTCAGAGTTTGGTTGAATTTGGATTTAATACAATAACCATTTCTTGCAGTCTGTTTTTTTTCTTTCTTCAGATGGATCTGTAAATTCTCCTAAACCCATGACAAACTTTAGCCATAGACATTAGCAGCCAACTATAATCATCATCATCATTTAACGACCTCATAATCTCTTGTGGGATAGAGTCTGAGCAACTGAATAGAGCTAGCAGAGTGTGTATTGGCCAGATGCCCTTCCTGTCACCAATGCGGAGTTTTGTTCAGCAGATAAATTCTCAGTGTGCCCAGAGAGAAATATCTGCCTCTACCTAGGATTGAACTCACAGCCTCCTGACTGTGAGATGAGAGCTCTACCTCTGGGTCATCGCACCACTCCTTGCAGCCAACTAAAAAATGAGCACACAGGGGTGACATCACAACCCAAGACCTACAATGATGTGTCTCATCAATATCAGACACAAATATGTATGTTAGCAGGGCTGTGAAATTATGATGCTGATTTTGTCATTTCCACATGCAAGCTTATCCTTGTCCAAAGACTCTTTGACAAGGATCTCCAAACTTGACTACTTTAAGTCTTGTGGACTACAACTCCCAGAATTCCCCAACCAACTGGCTGAGTAATTCTGGGGGTTGAAGTCCACAAGTCTTAAAACTGCTCTGAAAGTTTGAAAACCCCTGCTCTGTGACATTAGAAGTTAATATTAGATGGGAACCAGGTTTTTGTTTTAAATTAATCCCAAAGAATCCAGTTTCCAACCATATTGATTCTGTATAGTTACATAATTATAATCACTATACCTAATCATATTTTATCCTCTCTATGCAGTAACGAATCATGACTAAGAAAAATACATTGTAACATTTTTATAGGATACTGTTCTGACCCAAACCTTGTTCCAAATAAACAAACACTGAACAGAGATAAAAGCAAAACCTTTTAATGCTTCTCTGCAAATTCTGTTAATTCATGGTTAAAAGGCTGTTTCAAACTAATAAGAACGAGCCTTGCCAAGGTTATGTAAGGCTGCCAAGAACACTGGATAAAAGTTACTAAGAAATATTTCAACCACGAAGAGTCTCCAAACACCAACCAAGATATTCTGAATGTCCACAAGGCTTGAGTGCAAAAATTTCTTTGCTTCCTGCAAAGAACTCTGGTTTCTCAGCTGCCTTTTATCTCTTAAGGGAGGGGCCATTACCTTGCAGCCTTACACCTGAGTCGCCCATGTTGCTGCAGCTGCTCTTTCCTGCAAGCAGCCCTGTGCATATGCGCACTGGGCACAGGCTCCTCGGGGACCTCTTCATCACTGCTGCCAGCCTCCACAATCTCTGAAGGCAGCACTCCACTCCCTGATGGTCCTGGCCCCATCCCTGCATCACATGCAGGCCCCTCATTTGAACCCTCGCTCTCCGAGACCTCAGCCATCCGCACCTGCTGCCAGTGAATCACAACAGATAAGGGGAAAGTGTCTGTATGAAATTCACCAAAAATAATTTCTGTTTGGACTCGTAACACAATTTAATAGTTTATTCTCAAGTGGATTATTATATGACCTTTATGTTCCAAAGCAGCTTTCCTTTTAAGCTCCTTTCAAAAGAACAAACAGGCATACATACAGGCACACTTCTCGTCTTTCAACCAGAGAAACCACCATTCTCAAACCAGCAAAGTATGTGTGAACTCTTACAACTTATTATCCATACATTATTTTTTTCATAGCTGCGGAACCAGAAAAATCAGGCTCATACACCAGCAACGCTAGTTATCAAGCATTTCTCGTGAATTTTAATACTACATAAATGGTTGTTTAGATATTTCTGCATGCATAGACTAGAAACTACACACATACACACACAAACACACACATTTCTTTACCTGTACTATTGGCAAAATGTTGTTGAGAGGGGTGATTTTGTGGTCTTCTATGGTGTTCGTTGCCACAAAGCTGAACCCTTTGAAGAGCTGATGAGCATTGGCGCTTGGCGGGACTCCAGGGGAATCTCGATTAATTGAGCAGTGTAACACGTTAGTTTGCCCCAAAATACAGTGCAAAATATTCCACATCATAATGCTGATTTATCAAAAGAATCCACTTTTGGAAAGATGGCAAATCTAACCACCTGTCTGAGTGTTGTAACAAAGAAGCAGTCAAAGGAAAATGAAGGCTTGGTTTTTTTTAAAAAAAAAAATCAAATAATTAGCACGGAAAACTAATTCAATTGATCAATTTTAATTCAGTGATGTTAAATAAAAGCCATTTTTTAAAAAAATTAACCCTAAAAATTAAGAGCATCATACAATATTTCTGGTGGAGACCAATAGGATTGGCCTATATTTATTTACTCTTACTGCTGGTTTATACCTATTCCAATTATTATGTTGAACTTTTTAACTGAAAGTTCTATTGGTTTAGTTGACTTTATTGTCATTGCACCTCGTATGATGAAATCCAACACCATCTTCAGTGCACATCATGACCATGAAAATAAACACAAACACAAATATTTCACCCTTCACACATTGAAACGGAAACCCCCAACACCACACCAACACTGCACTGTACAGCAGAATTCAAAAGAGCTACTGCCCTGGGATAGAAGCTGTTTTTCAGCCTATTTGTCCTTGTTTTTATTATAGTCCTGTACCATCTGCCAGATGGTAATAGTTCAAAAAAAAGGGGTGCCCAGGATGAGATGGATCTTTGAGGATGTTTTGAACTTTCTTAAGGCAGCGGGAACTATAAAGCTCTTCCAAAGAGGGGAGAGGGCAACCCATGATCCTCTGGGCAATGACAAAGAAGAATGGGTGGAGGGAAGATGTATTACAGGTATATTGCAATATATTGCAGGTAGTCCTCAACTTACGACCAAAATTGAGCCCAAAATTTCTATCACTAAATGAGACTTCTGTTAAATGAGTTTTGTCCCGTTTTAGGACCTCTCTTGATACAGTTGTTGAGTCAATCGCTGCAGTTGTTAAGTGAGTAACCCGGCTGTTAAGTGAATCTGGCTTCCCCATTGACTTTGCTTGTCAAAAGGTTACAAAAGGTTGATCGCATGACCCTGGGACCTGCAACTGTTATAAATATGAGTCAGTTGCCAAGCGTTTGAATTTTGATCATGTGACCACAGGGGAAGTTGCAATGGTTATAAGTGTGAAGAATGGCTGTAAGTGCCTTTTTTCAATTCCGCTGTAACACTAAATGAACTGTTGGAAGTCAAGGACTGCCTGTAATACATTGTAATCTTTTCAGTATTACTTATTACTAATAAGTAATAAGAGTAATATGAGCTGTGGTAGCGCAGTGGTTAGAATGCAGTACTGCAGGCTAATGAGGACCCAGATTGTTTGAGGGTAAGATGCTGGTTCTGTAAACTGTTTAGAGAGGGCTGTGAAGCACTGTGAAGTGGTATATAAGTCTAAGTGTTATAGCTACTGCTCCCCATCTCCTTCCTTCCTCCCTTCCCTTCCCTTCCCTTCCTTCCTTGTGGTTAGAATGCAGTCTTGCAAGCTAATTCTGCCCATTGCCCACAGTTCAATTCTCACTAGGCTGAAGGTTGACTCAGCCTTCCATCCTTCTGAGGTCAGTAAAATGAGAGATTGTTGGGGGCAGTAGGCTGACTCTGCAAACCACTTAGAGAGGGTTGTAAAAGCACTGTAAAGCAGTATACAAGTCTACGTGATATTGCTATTACCTTTGGGAGTTTTTGCTGTGAATTCTGGGTCAAAGCAAAATGTGTCTTCTGGTCTTCCAGAAGCAGGTTTAAATGGAGGCTGAATCTCTGTCCTGTAAAGTTTCTGTAATCAGAACCACAAGAAGATTATTTCACCGTAGATGACAGTGGATTTATATTGCTTTTCTAGTGGAAAGTTCTTTGCTTCTGCAGGTTCAATTTTAGAAACATTGCCTTTCGGTGCCCATGCCTCTTCCCACACCTGTGATTGTCCCCAGAGCCATTTGGAGTCCCAGGTAGAGGAAACAGTAAAACTCAACTTTTCCTCTCCTTCTGTTACAGAAGAGTTTGTTTCTTCGAAGAGACTTAATTGAAGGAAGGAAAACTACTGGATGTGAGTATAAATATTCTCTTAAGTACTAGGCAGTCACTAGAGAATCTAAAGGTATCAGGCTTTTCTTGAACCTGCATTCTCCTGTTTCTATAAATGTTTTTGAAAAGCTTCCAAATGCTATGAAAATAAATAAAAGATACGTACAAGTTGATACAGCTAAGGTTCGAAAGAAACGGGGAGGAGGAAGGGAGGAGGAAGAGGAAGAAGGAGGAGGAGGAAGGAGAAGGAAAAAGAGAAGGAGGAGGAGGAGAAGAAGAAAATGAAGAGGAAGGAAAAGGAGGAGGAGGAGGAGGGGAAGGGGAGGGGGCGGAGGAAGGAGAAGGAGAAAGAAGGAGGAGGAGAAAAAGAAGAGGAGGAGGAAGGAAGGAAAAGCAGGAGGAGAAGAAGGAGGAGGAGAAGAAGGAGGAAGAGGAGGAGGAGAGGAAGAAGGAGAAGGAGGAGGAGGAGGAGGAGGAGGAGGAGGAGGAGGAGGAGGAGGAG